AAATATTATTATAAAATGTGGTTTGATGTGAAACCAAAGCATATCACACTAGAACTAACTGAATACTATATGTAACGTGATATATTTAGTGATAAAAGATTTGAAAATACCATTGATGCCATCCTAGCAGAAAGTGTAACAAAAAATATAATTGGGCTCACATTATTGCAATATTGGAAATTTGCAGCAATTGATCAAAAAGAGATTGGTAAAGTTGCACAAAGATTGTATAGTATTAAAGTTAATTCTGCATCATGTGAGTGTCTGTTTTCCTGAATAGGATGGTTTCAAAATCCAAAACGAAATCATCTTAAAGTAAGAACAATGTATTAGAGTTTGGAACTGGTTTATTTTTTATATATTAAAACCAGTTTTAATATATGAGAAATAAAATCAGTTCCAAACTCTGCAATGTGTTTGAATTTTGTAAATATATTTTATAAAAACTTATCTTGTTGTAGTTACAAACAATCTTTAGGATGACTCAAATCACAGCTGAAATGGCATGAGAAGAACACTTAGATAATGCTGAAAAAATTCACAAAACTGTTACTGTGAATCGTATTATTGATTCAAATAATAGTAAAACAGCAACAATATACTGTGAACCCCAATTAGAATCAAGCTTTGTACAAAGAAATGAAACAGACAACCCAATTGCACTTGACCTTACTGAAAATATGCATATTCCAATACTTGATGATAGTGAGATGCCTAACAAAAATAATTATGATACTAATGATTATGATAGTGATGATTATTCCAGTGATAAAAATGAAGAAATAACAAATGATGAATCTATTATCAGAGAATTAGTTAATGATGATGACAATGAAAATGAGAATCTTAAAGAATTAACTACAACTTCTTATGATATTACTAACGTGCAAAATTGTATCCAGCTGAACTCGAAGGTTCAAAAATTGAACTTCAATACCTTTTTAAGCATGCTTTATCACAACCTTCATTTGTTCGTACTCTTCAGCAAGACATTGAGAATAATTTTGTATTATCTAACAATTAGGACCAATCATATAAAATATAATGCAATCACAATAAATTTTATATAATAAAAGAGTTAGTTTTGCTATCAACATTCGTATTAAAAGATTAACTACAAAATATCTTGGCATAACATAATTAGAATAAATAATATCTTATTGAATTTTAATAGATTTAGTTAACAATATAGTAAAATTTCTGAATATAAAAAACCCTTACAACAATAAACTTACCAAGTAGTATATCTAGCAGGATCTATATTGATCGAATATAGTTTGTTTAAATATCTAGACTTTCTATTACAATCTTATTGATATAAACTCAGCATGTATTAGATTTGGATCTATTATATGTAGACTTAAAATTAGTGAAATGCAAAAACTTTTAATAGAATTGAACTTTAGCTATGAATTATTAGTTGATTTAGTTACACAGACCGATATGACTGATTTGACCAACATGACCATGGTCGAACTGGTCATATTGGACATATTAGTCTGTATAACTAAATTATTTGACCAATTTGACCAGTATCACAAGATCAGACCAGACTGGTCAATGGTTAAATCGGTCTGATCAAATAGTCAAATTGGTCTAGTCAAACCTACTCTGAATACAACTAAGTAACAAGATTACCTAGTATAGTGATTAACTATTGCAAATATATACAAGATAGAGGTGTAGTAGTTCACTTTACTATATAGCAGCAGGCAAATGGTTTGAAATAATAACAGTATATAAATTAACTTTTTATTAACAACACATATGATGATAACCTTGCCTATAGGAATTACTCTAGAGAGAGAATATCACACTTTATAATTAAAAGGTTATTATGTTTGAATTGAAATATAGAAACTTAGAATTGGCAGAGAAGAGAAAAAGGTACTTTTTATATATCTTTTTATCTAGTAGGAGTAGTAGAGATTTGAGTGACATTTCTTAATACTGTACTTAAAATAATAGAGATTGTATAGAGGCAAGTGAAGTTTGTACAGAAATAGTTAGGACAATGTTTATATATATTTGTCATTTGTACTTAAAATACTTGAAGCTTGTGTCAAGATATTTAAGTCTGTGCAAAAACAGTTAGGATTGTGCAGAGACACTTGAGAATTGTATTGAAGATACTTGAGATTGTGCAAAAACAATTAAGAATTGTGTTAGAGATACTTAAGATTCTTGTACTGTAGTATTTGGCATAGTAAATTGTATTAGAATATATAAAACTTGTGTAGGAGTACTTGAAATTTATAAGACAATAGTAACATCATAGATGTTAATTAATGTCATATGCCTATATTATACTTCTAATAGCTATTTAAGATTCTATTATCTAACTACTATATACTATGCTAATAACTAATAATAAATATAATATAAAATACAATAATGAATATATAATA